CATCCGGCTCTCCCTGGCCTCGAACGTTTTGTTCGTCTGATTTACCACAAGAAGAGAATCGCACTTGGCTTCGATCACTTCGGCGCCGAGGCTCCTGGCTAATTCTAAACCTGCAATCATAGCCTCATACTCGGCTTCATTGTTAGTCAACCTCCTCGTCCGTATAGACTGCCTAATGACGTCCCCGGTAGGAGGTTTTAGTATGATCCCCAATCCCGACCCCTTTACGTTCGAAGCTCCGTCCGTGAACAATGTCCATACTCCGGACGGAGTCCCCGAGCTCAGCAGGAGCTCTTTTTCGACCAGGGGAATAAGGGTCGGTGTGAAGTCGGCGATAAAATCAGCCAATACTTGCGACTTAATCAAGGTTCGAGGACAATATTGGATATCGTGCTCGCTAACCTCTATGGCCCACTTGGCCAGCCGGCCGGACAATTCGGGCTTATGCATGACATTTCTTAATGGGTATGTAGTTACAACATGTATGGGGTGACTTTGGAAGTATGGCTTCAATTTTCTTGAGGCACTAATTAGGGCTAATGCCAATTTTTCTAGGTGAGGATACTTCGTTTCCGCTTCCCCTAGTGTCCTACTTACGTAGTAGATGGGGAACTGGGTGCCCTGTTCTTCCCTAACTAGGACCCCACTGACGGCTACTTCCGATACGGCCAAGTATAGGTATAGAGGCTCTCCGATTTTCGGAGAATGCAACAAAGGTGGATTAGAAAGGTACCTCTTGAGTTCCTCTAGGGCGTGCTGGCATTCTGGTCCCCACGTGAAATCATTCTTCTTCTTTAGAAGATTGAAAAATCGATGGCTCCTCTCCGAGGATCGGGATATGAACCGGCCTAGAGCAGCTATGCGCCCGGTGAGCCGTTGGACGGCCTTTACGTTATCGACAATCTTTATGTCCTCGATTGCCGTAATCTTATCCGGATTGATCTCGATTCCCCTGTTGGACACCATAAATCCTAGGAACTTTCCGGATCCGACCCCGAACGCGCATTTCTCCGGGTTCAGCTTCATGTTATATTGCTTTAATATAGCAAAAGTTTCCTGCAAATGGCTAAGATGTTCCTCTGCGCGCAGGGATTTAACTAACATATCATCAATATAAACTTCCATGGTTTTGCCTAATTGATTCTCGAACATCTTGTTAACTAGGCGTTGGTAGGTGGCCCCGGCGTTCTTTAACCCGAAGGGCATCACGTTATAGCAGTAAGTGCCATACTTAGTGATGAAGGACGTTTTTTCCTGATCGTCCTTATCCATCCGGATCTGATTATATCCGGAATAGGCGTCGAGAAAACTTAGCGTCTCGTGGCCGGCCGTGGCATCGATCATTCGATCGATGTTAGGCAAAGGAAAGGAATCCTTGGGGCAAGCTTTATTTAGATCTTTATAATCTATACACATTCTTAATTTATTACCCTTTTTGGGTACTACAACTACGTTGGCTAACCATTCGGGGTATTTAACTTCCCGGATGGACCCTATGTTTAATAGCTTAGTTACCTCCTCGTGGATGAAAGCCTCCTTGACCTCGGATTGGGGCCTTCTCTTTTGTTTGACTGGCCGGAATTTTGGGTCTGTGCTCAACTTGTGAGTCGTGACCTCCGGGGGTATGCCTGTCATATCCAAATGGGACCAAGCAAACACATCTTCGTTAGCAGTAAGAAAAGAAAGCAAATTTTTCCTGAGCTCGGTAGTTAAACCCGAGCCCAGGTATACCTTTCGGTCTGGCGCGCTCGAACGAATAGGGATCTGTTCCAGCTCTTCGACTGTTGATTTGGTGGCATCGGACTCATCCGGAGTCACGAAAGACCGGGGAAGAAAGAGGTCTTCCCCGAAGGTAGATTCTGGTTCAGCCTCTTTTACCGGAGGCTTACACTTTGACTGCTATTTTGCCTTGGACACCTCATCTACTGCGAACATCTCTCTTGCGGCGCATTGCTCCCCGTACACAGTGATGACCCCCCTCGGCAGATGGGAATTTCAGCATTTGGTGCAGCGTGGACGGTACGGCCCCGTATGTCGTGTATCCAAGGTCTT